CATGATGTATAGGATCAGAATTAAATGACAGCTCTGGGTAAATTTGACATGCAGAGAAGTCAAGATCCAGCTCTGATCCAAAGTCCAAGGAGGACCTGAATTCCTACAAGTGGGGACCACTATACTTATTGACCCCAGGATTGTTCAAAAAGAAGCTTCAGGGATTTGTTTGAGAGAAAATTCAGAACCCAGTTCTGCCAAAAGGAGGAAATAAAAATGATAAATGACTTTTGGAAAGATCACAGAAGAAACTGAGGCACTGTCTCTAGTCTAGGCAGAATCTTGGCTCCAGCCCCTTCAGCAAGAGCTTCTGAATCACCTCCTGCCTGGACTGGGGACTTCTCAGCAACAGGTGACCTGAGGACATAGCCCCCTCTGGTGGCTGCTGTAGGAGGCTCAACATCAGGAACGCGGGGGCTCTGCTCCAGGGAAGGGAAGGTCTCCCCTAACTGCGTCTCCTAGGATAGGGACTACCTCAGAAAAGTTGGTGGGATAAAAAGAGAAGGCAGAATGTGTTCATGTCTGGCTCACTGTGGAAATAGTTACGGGCCCAAAAAAGTAGAGTCAGAGGGAGAACTCCAGAGAAAGTGGAAGGGGAAAATGCCGTAAAAGGAAGAAGAAATATCCCATTCTAAAAATATGGTGAAATGGATTTTTTGGTTTGTCCCAACAAGCACAGATTCCTGAGGCTTGGCACCTTGCTTTTTTGGGGCCTGGTTCAGGCCTAAATTTGGTGTGACAGAAAGGAGCCTTTGTTAATATGCCTCTAGCCAGAGGAAGAGAGATTCTTTCAGTGTATCTCAGCTTAGAAAGCAAGGGGTGGTTATGTGCTAAGAGAGACCCATCTGCAAGAAAGACCTCTGGGAGGGAGGTTAGATGAGGTCAAGTATCCTTTGGGGAGAGGAGAGAGAGCAGGTTCAAAGAGATGTACCAGCTCCTTAGAGAGCAGAGTAGGCTCTGGGGTACCCAGAGTACCTAGCTAGAACCAGGGCCTTCCTGGTGGCCGTGGGCCTAAGTCTCAGCTCTATCACCGCTGCAGCCTGAGTTGGATCCCCAGCCAGGGAGCTGACCCATACACGGCACAGCAGACCTCTCCTGTCTCACCGCTGCTCCCCTTAGTGGTATATTTCCATAAATCTACCTGTTCTGCATCCTCCGCCCCCATGCTGTCTATGGTGGATCCTCTCACACCCCACGCACCTCTGGCCTACACCCCAGTTCTTCTTTCTTCGGGGGGAAGAAAACAAACTGGAGGGCACACCCAAATGCCCACCTTGACTGGGAAACTTTCCCATGAGAAATTACTATCAAACCCCCAACTAAAAATGTGAAACTGAACTAAAGTCCAGCAGGTCCTTGAACAGCATCTTTCATCCAATGTCATTTCATGATAACATTGATGACACCATTAAAGCCAATTCCCCGTCAGGGAACTGTCTGTATGACGTTCGCACGGTCTGTGAATTCTGTGTGGGCTTTTCTCCACATACTTGTGTTTTCCCCCCACATCCCAAAGATGTGCAGTTAGGTTCACTGGCATGTCCAGATGGTCCCAGTTGGAGTATGTATGAGTGTGTGAGTGCGTGTGAGTGTGTGTGAGTGAGTGTGCTCTCCCCTGGAAGAGCACCCTGTCCGGGGCTGAGTGCTACCTTGAGCAGACTCCAGCCTGCCCAGCCCCAGCCCCTGGCCCTGAAATGGAATAATTGGGTTGGAAGATGAATGCAAATAGATGATTGTTTCTTGTTAGAAGTGTTTGGGGTCGTTATTTACATGTTTGGTGATTTTTTCCTGACCAGCAGCCTGCCATAGGAACTCCACTCTCGTTTATATCAATTAGCCTATGGTCAAAATTGGTTTCATTATATTTTGTCATTTTGCTTGAAGTTGCAGTTTCCTCATACTTCTCCACAGCATTAAGTAAGATCTTACTGTGGTTTAATAATGGACAATAGCCAGTCTCCCTTCTACAAAGCGGAAGGAGAGGTCGAGACCTTTTCTTGTTCCCCATCCCATCTTTAGAACTTGTGCTTCAACCAAAATAGGATCTCAGCAAACCATTCTTTAAAAAGAAAGTGTGAGAATAAATAAGTAGGTCATTCATCTGTGTGGCTGCAGCCAGTCCTTGCACACGGTGGGACCATCGATGACAGCCTGTCATTGATGAGTGGGTGAATGCATGAGTCACCTGTTCGGAGCCGGATTTGATCATTGCTAGTCTGGCTCTGAGATGAAAGAAATTGCATAAAACTTTGCCTCCGTTAAACCACTGGTGGAAACTTCGCTCAAATACAGGATGTGGCGAGCATCTCATCTTACTTTTGAAGGTGTGGGTTGTGCTTTGCAAGTTTCTCTGATTTGCTAGTGGGGGTTGTGCAGGGACTGCCTCATCTGAAGAATTGAGAATTGGGGGAGGAAGCGGGAACAGGGGAATGCAAGCATGTTCACCCAGTGGGAGATGCGCAGGAAGCTGTGTCCAGGGGCTCATGGTCAAGAGGACCCAGGATCCCGGATGGGCAGGAGATAATCACACAGCGTCTACCTATGGACCTGCCTCTCTTTTTCCTAGACAGAGGTAAAGGAGGCTTTGCCAGAATAGGGATAATAAAGTTACCTTCCCTGTGGAAGATTTGTGGGGGTTAGGTGTGGTCATGCATGTGAAGCAGGCCTGGATCAGAATGTGTGTGTACATATAGGTTAATATTCATGTTAATATTAGTGTTTTCCAGTACTTTCTAGATGTTCATTTCCATTTTCTGACACCTTGATAAAGGGGGTGGAGAATTGTGAACCCAACAGTGATGGTACCAGATAACCTTCCTGTGGAGTCACCACCTACAGCTTGACTTTGAGGCTGCAGAAAACAGAACGGTAAGTAGCTACCAAAGCCTGGTGGTGGTTCTCAGATCAAGTTCTCTGACAACAGATGTGGAGTCAGAATATGGGTAAATCATCACCAGTGTAGGGGTGGGGAAGGAGGCAGGAGTGGGCAGGGGTAAGCTGAGTCGCAGGCAGCCCTGACAAACTTTGGCCAGTCGGGTGAGAAGTTCTAGAATAAGTGGTATCCATGGAAGTTATCCCACCGCAAACTAGCATGTGTGGGTCTTTATATTCCCACCTCATTGAGTCACCAGAGGAGGCTACCCAGGTAAGGGTGTGACCTCTGGAAGGAGGATATTAGCAACTGAGGCAGATCCTGAGAAAATACAGAGCAGGGGCCTCAGGGCAGCCTGCAGCTTAGCAATAGGTCATTAGAATGAGAACATCTTAGAAAAGAGGCCTTTTCTCTATGGCCCTCAGCCCCTCGTGGCCTGATGCAGAGGTCGATGTTCAAGACACTGATGAATCTTCTATACTTAAACCAGCTGTTCATAACACAATTTCACAGACATGGTCTCATCTTGGGGCACGTCACTGCAAGGGGCCGTGGGAGCAAATCTGGGGCAGATGTCAACATGGGGAGAACGAGAAAGCACATCCGACTGGCTTGACGGAGCGGGTCTTAGTTTCACTCCCCCCAGGTAGATGATGGGTGATTACCTCCCGCCCCTCCAGGATCCTGGTTCATCCTCTATAGCCTGAGCCCCTGGGGACTGCTTCCTTCTCATCTCTAGCTGGTCCTTACGTGTCCTGATTCCCTTGGGCCTGAAAGACCTTTCCCAGCTAGTCTAAAAGGGGGTGCGGGGACCTGGCTGTAGAAGTGAGCATCTGAGTATCTGAGGGCAGGAAGCCAGGGGGGCAGAGCTCAGAGGAGCCAGGCTGTGGAGAAAGCCATGTGACTTTAGCACAAAGAAGAGTCTGAGAATGCAAAACACCTGCACTGTCCTGCAGCTCCAACCACTCTTTGTCTCACACAGATGATTTCCCCATTGTGAGTTTCAGTTCCTCTCCGGCTCTACTGACAACTCCAAGTGCTCACGTCTCTCATGGAGGCTGAGACTCACTGCACATTTAAGAGTTTTGCTGCCACTTCTGGTGACAACTGTGTAACCCTCATGCCATGAACTAGAAAACTAGTTTAAGCAGAGGCAACATTGTTTCTAGGCATCAGGCAACAGCACTGCAGGACTGTGATCCGAGAAAAAGAAAGCAAATAAAGTGAACCCCACTGCTCCCCCAGCTTACTGCCTGGGGACAATTTCTAGATGGGGAAACTCTGCCCTGTGACAAGCAGAGCAGAGTCAAATATGGGAGTTAGAAGAGGCCAGGTGTGCGGAAATTGTGCAACAGAATGCCAGCAATGAGAGAGCAATACAGAAAAGGAGCTTCAGGACGGTTGTGTGTTCCCTTAGAGTTTAACGAAATACTAAGTTGTACATACATAGGATGACACTGCAGAAAAATGGCTAAAAGCGATGACCAAGAAGACAGCAGAGAGCTGAAACTGAACAAACACTAGAGCTTGCACAGAACGAGGAGGACTTCATGTAAGAGGCCAGAGTGGGATGTCTTTGTTGAACAGATGGGAAATTTAAGCGGAACCACAGAAGGTTAAAACCTTAGTAAGAGCACCCTGAGCCTAATCACAAGGCTAGAACTTCTCTAAAAAACTTAAACACAAGCCTCAAAATTCTCAAGTCAACAGCAAATAAATTAACCACATGCCAACAAAATACAAATATGTGACAGTGTAACCGCTATAATATGCAGCTCCCAATTAAAAAATTACTGGGTGCACCAAAAAACAGGATTTGTGATTCATAATTGGGAGAAAAGGGTGTCAACAGAAGCAGATCTAGAAATGGCAGCGATTAACATACAGGGCTTTCATGTAGATTCAAGGATTTAAAGGAAAACATGAATATAATAAAAAGAGAAGTAGGAATGGGGGAAAAATGGATCCTCAAGAACCAAAAAATACATTTAAAAAATCTCACTGGATGAGAATAACAGTAGATTATTTTAAAGTTAATTACATGAAGAAAAAAGTGTTGGTGAGCTTAAAAGCAAAGTAACGGAAACTTAACCAAAATGAACAATAACAAAGAGAGAAAGGAACTTACCGTGCAGGGCTTGTGAAGGTCTTTTCAAGGATTTTGGCTTCTACTCTGAGTAACATACACACTGTTGGGGGATTTTGATGAGAGTGTTAGGGGGAAGGATGTCCTGAGCAAACTCCTACGGGTTTTGTGGACTCCACCCCCACTGCAGACCAAAGCCATCAAGACACTGGAAATGACAAATCCCATCATCACCAAAGGGAGGGTTGCTGGGACCTGAGGGTGGGGTTAAGCTGTCAGGTTTGGTATAAAACCAGACACGTGGGCCTTGGGGGGTCTCTCTCTTGGCCTCACGGCTCTTGGCTCTTCCCCAGCTCTTGGCATGCCATTGGGATTCCAGGTCAGCAAAACAGGTAGGATGCATTCATGAGTTTATCGCCCTCTTTTTCTCCCTGAGTTATTCATTTCTTCATTTTTCCCTTTCTTTGGTAAATAAACCTTTATTAACCTTTTGTGTGTGCCTGCAGTTGAGTATTAATAAGTCCCTTTTAAGCGCCGGTGAGGACCCACAGTCGGCAACCCATTTTGTGTTGGGGTTGCTCTGTAACAAGAGGACTCCAGCTACTCTGTTAAGAATAGACTGAAGAGGGGAAAGGGTTAGCCTGTAAAGTGAATGTTACAAAATATCCCAAGTGAGAGATGGTGGTGGCTTAAAACAGGTTAATAGCATGGGGCAAAAATAAGTGATTGAAATATGGGGCGTATTTCAATAGGGGAGATTAGATTCTTTCCTGCACTAGATTTAGAATCAAGAGAGGGCCTCCCCGGTGGCACAGGGGTTAAAGACACAGCGCTATCAAGCTATTGCCAGCCACTGCAACATGAGTTCGATCCCCGGCCAAGGAGCTGACCCGCATGGTGCAGCAGACCTCTCCTGCCTCGCCCGCTGCTCCCCTCAGCAGTATATTTCAGTGGATCCACCTGTTCTGTTTCCCACTCTGTCTCTGGTGAATTCTCTGACCTCCCACACCTCTGGCCTACACCAGTTCTTGTATGCATAAATAAATAAATCTTTACAAATTAAAAAAAAAATAGAATCAAGAGTGATGTTGACATATATATATATATATTTTACATGCCATTAACTGTTAATTGAGAGCAAGAACTGTGTATCGGTTGGGACCACATTTAGATCTACATAACAGAAAACCAGTCACATAAGGAAAAAAGTGGAGGCTTATTTGTTTCACAAAATTGGCTAGACCAAGGCTGGTCAGCTACTCAAGGTTATCATCAGTATCCCAGGCACTTGCTATCATCCTATTAAACCATACTGTAACAATTATTTTATTGTCCTTTTTCTTGTGCCTCGTGGTCTCAAAGTAGCTTCTGTCCCTCTGGCCAAGGGAGACAGAGTGGCCCTGCCAATTTGTCCCTGTCTACTCAAAAAGCCAAAACTTTCCTGGAGACTCCATCCAGCAAGCAGACATCCCCCATAGCTCACTAGGCCTCAGAGCCAACCTCAGAATGAGATAATGTGCATGTTCTCATTGTAATACAGGTGACTTGCAATTCATTCCTTAGAGCCAAAGTAGGGGGTCTTTTCCCCCTAAAGTCTAAGGATTTCTTTTTGTAAAATTTTTTTAAACAATATTTTCTTCCCCCCACCCCTCAGGTTGAGTCTCCATAGAGTTTCCTTCCCCAAGGCACCCGGGCACCATCACCACAGTCCCCTGTGCTTCTACCTCCCTCCCTCTGATCCCTCTCCCTCCTCCGCCCCTGCAGGATGTCTCTGATTTATAATTGCCTGTTTTTGCTTTGCTGTGTTTTGTACTATTATTAATTTTTTCACACTGATGTTTTATTTTGTTCCCCTATATTCTAAGTGAAACCACCTGATATTTTTCTTTTTCCTTCTGGCTTATTTCACTGAGCATAATTCCTTCTAGCTCCATCCACGTTACTGCAAATGGCACCTCCACATGCAAAAAAATGAAACTAGACCACTGCTTCTCACCGTGCACAAAAATCAACTCAAAATGGATAAAAGAACTGGACATAGACCTGAAACCATAAAATATATAGAAGAAAATATAGGGAAAACACTACAAGACATACATCTCAGAAATATCTTTAAAGACTCATCACCCAAAGCAGTGATAGTGAAGGCAAAGATAAACACCTGGGACTACATCAAACTGAAAAACTTCTGTACAGACAAAGAGACATTAACCAAAACAGAGAGACACCCCCCTGACTGGGAAAAAATCTTTGCACTCCATTCAACTGATAAGGGACTGATCACAATGATATACAAAGAACTAAAATAAACAATCCAGTCAAGAAATGGGCAGAACTCAAAAGATATTTCTCCAAAGAGGAAATGCAAATGGCCAACAGGCATATGAAAAAAATGTTCAACATCCCTTATCATCAGGGAAATGCAAATCAAAACCACAATGAGATACCACCTTACACCAGTGAGAATGACACATATCAAAAAACAAGAAATGTTGGCGAGGATGTGGAGAAAAAGGCGCTCTGCTGCACTGCTGGTGGGAGTGCAAACTGGCCCAACCACTGTGGAAAGGTGTCTGGAAGTTCCTCAGTCTACTAAAAATGGGGCTACCTATGACTTGGCAATTCCACTCCTAGGGATCTACCCAAAGGACACAAAAAGTCTAAGGATTTGTAATGGTAACAAGTCAAGGTCCCCTGCAGTGCCAGCAAGCACAGGGCAGGTACTGGGCAGACGGGTAAAGGAGAGCCCTGGAGCTCTCAGTGGCTTTTTCAAGTTTGTAATGATCTTTCTACACCATTTGTAATGAGGCAACCAGGTGCAGGGCAGGCAGGGGGGTAAGAGGGGCTCTCAGCCCCCACTGAATCTTTACCCTCCCTGGGCTCGCTCTGACTGTCACTCGGAGTCTCTCCTCTAGCAGCCAGTCTCTGCCACGCTCTGCTGCAACACGCTCAGCCGCACCCCATCCTCTGTGACGCTGCCCTCCTAGCCTCAGTCTCTCGGCTCAGGTGCACCCACTTAAGCATGCCCACACATACTTCAGGTGCCCACCATCAGGCACGCGTACCCCACGCCCATGCTCCCAAGCGCCTCCGGCTTTCAAGGCCGCGGGTGATAGCCACCGAGGCCAACAGCACAAAAGTCTGAGCAATCTTCATTTACCCTACAGCCCCTTAGCACCGAAGAAGGGAATTGCTTTGGGACGATTGTGAGGTTGGTGATGGACATTTCTGTCATTGCTTCGTTTCTACAATTTTCCTACAAAACAACCCCATCCCCCCTCTCCTCTCCCCTCTGGTGTCTGGCAGTTATCTATAACAACAATCACAGTGGCCTCCCTGGTGGCCTAGGGGTTTAAGTCTCAACACAATCACCGCCACGGCCTGAGTTGGACACCGGACCAGGGAGGTGACCCACATGACAGAACAGACCTCTCCTGTCTCACCCACTGCTCCCCTCCGCAGTGTATTTCAGTGGATCCGTCACATCTCTGGCCTACACCCCAGTTCTTCTATGCAAAAATAAAAAAATAATAATAAAATAACAATTACTGCTACCATGCTGTCGCAGTGGCACAGTGACTTTGGAAGACGTCATAAATACATGGCTTGAAAGAAAGACCTAGAGAAAAGGGGTGGGCCTGGGATTGTGCTGGGAGCCTCTGTGACTGACAGAGTCCGTAGACGATGGCAGGCCCGTTGTCTCTCTCATTTTAGGACACCTTGGGCTATCCTAAGATTTCCCGAGCCAGCAGTGAGGAGAACAGAAGCCAGTTAGAGGAAAACTGGAGAGAGACTTTTGGAGAACTTTGGTTGTGGTGGTTGCTGCTAGCAAAGCATTTGCATAATCAGTCCAGTCTGAAAAGTCAAGCCCCCAGGATCTGGGGTAGAAAGCAGAAAAGAAAAACAAGGAAACCAAATTGCTCTGCAAAATAAAGTAAGAAGAATTTTAGGGTGTCCGCAGAAGAGGGGAGTAGGGGATACAGGTTCCTGGGGAAAAGGGGGAGATTGAAGTGCACGGAAGAGCATGCTGGGGGTCCTCGTGGTAGTGCCTATTACACCCACTTCCGTTTCACAGGGAGGCATCTTGCAACTGTTAAATGACAGAGCCAGGATTTAAAGTTCATAGCCTGGTGCTCATTCTAAGTGCCCCCCCAACCCCATCCCTCCTCGCTATGCACTCTCCCAAACCCCAGTGAGCATGAAGGAGATCAGGTTTGAGCCTGGAGGCCGTGGGTTGGATACAAAACCCTCCAGTCTCCATCTGTGGAGATATTTTGAGTGAAGGTCCACGTAGCAGTGCACTGAAGTATCAATTGCTCTGCCAGGAAATCCCTCAGTGACTTTGGGGGACAGGCTGCTTCCTCTGGGTAGTTCTGTGGGCCACACACACTTCCACCCCTGCCCCTGAAGAACTGGTAAACAACCTTAGCCCCACCTCCTGCCCTCAGATCTCGCCCACTAGGCCTCTGTTGCTCAAACAACGATACTTTCAATTTCCTGATAAGTAGGCCACTGCTGTCTAGGCCTATCAGAATGTACATTTACTCTCCATTGTCGAGTTCAAAAAGAAAGAAAGCAAAAGCAAAACAAAGCAGTTTTTAATTGCACAGCCCCACTCACCCTGGGAACCCGAGGCCCAGGCTTTCTCACGTCCTTACAAGCTGATGCCGCTCAGACCTCACATCCCGCACATGCGCTCAGCTGCAAAGACACAGGGGCCGCCATGGCAGTGGCTCTAGCGTGGACACTCCAGTTATTCAAAGCATTTTCCTGGGCCTCCCTGGTGGCGCAGGTGGTTGAGTGCAGTTCTGTGAAGCTATCCACAGGCTCAGCAGTGTGGGTTAGATCCCCGCTGGCGACAGAGATACCCACATGGCGCTGCAGACCTCTCCTGACTCGCCCGCTGCTCCGCTCAGCAGTGTATTTTGGTCTGTCTGCCTGTTCTGCTCCCCACTTTGTCTCTGGTGAATCCTCTCACCCTCCTGCACTTCTGGCCTGTACCCTGGTTCCTGTATACATGAATAAATAAATCTTAAAAAAAAAAAAAAAAGCATTATCCTAACCAAAGTCTCCCCTGGTCGTCCCAAGACTTATGATAGTTCCG